ACTTTGGGCTTGCCACTGTCCCCTATCCTGAGATATTCAAAATATTCATTCGATAGAATGTTTGGCACGGAGGGTCTGTGACACAAAAGCCGGGGTCATGAATCCGGGAGGATCTGAGCCCTCCCTCCTCTACTGCCATTACCTGTGCAAACGGTGCTCACTTCTCAAACTCCCTGGGCCCTAGTTTAATCATTTGTAGAAGGAGAATCACGGCTAGCTCGTGGGATTATTCTGAGAATTAAATGGAATAAAGTGCCTCAACGTCTCTGATGTAGCACGTCGCTCATAGCAGCACTCCACACACTTGTTGAGTGAGTGATGGAAAGAGTGAATAGTAAGCTTTCCACGGATGATCTCATTCTTCACTTTTGAATTGGTTTTCCTTTTCTTTGCCTCTCCTCTTTCCTTTCTCCCCATTTCCTTCTTTCCCCCTTCCTCACATTTTTAATGTTCAGGATTGCCCTCCCTGTGCCACGTGTCTTTACCTGTCCTTGACTACGTCATTCCTTAGTCAGTATCCCTAGGTGTTTGCCATGGAGGGCCTTACACCTCGCCCGTCTACATAGAAAACGTGTCATTATATTGGGGCGCCTAGGTGGCGCAGTCGGTTAAGCGTCCGACTTCAGCCAGGTCACGATCTCGCGGTCCGTGAGTTGGAGCCCCGCGTCAGGCTCTGGGCTGACGGCTCAGAGCCTGGAGCCTGTTTCCGATTCTGTGTCTCCCTCTCTCTCTGCCCCTCCCCCGTTCATGCTCTGTCTCTCTCTGTCCCAAAAATAAATAAATGTTGAAAAAAAAAATTAAAAAAAAAAAAGAAAACGTGTCATTATAAATGGAGGAGGAGGAGGCTGCCTTGCTCCACACATGCCTGTCTGGACAGATTTCCAGGGGCAGCTGTGACTCTTGGTACAACTTCTTCACTTCCTTACTAGTTCTTGGCTGTGGTGCTCATATGATAGAAGGTGGAGAGAGAAAGTGGTGAAGACAAAGCTCCAGAAGAGAAAAAAAAAAAAAAAAAAAAATAGACGTATCTACTTAAGGCCACGTGGCACTTTAGAGAAGGAACAGAGTTGACCACAAAGTAACGTCACGTAAGTCTCAGCTGGTAGCCAAGACCCCAGCCACCGAATCATAGTCATTTCCCAACCTGAAGATAGAGGAGGCACCTGAGGGAAATAGGGGGAAGTAGGACATGATGTTCTATTGTACAATGTCAGAGAGACCATGGGAGGGAAGGATGATGTCAGGCTTGTGCCAAGGGATGCAACAAGGGATGGTTCCATGCTCCCGGGAAACAGGCACTACCAGCATAACCTATCGTCTGTCCTTGTTGGTCAATGTTAATGGATTTGGGCTGGAAGATGGTAGGGCATCATGCAGGGATGATTCAAAAAGCTTTTTCTTTTGGATTTGCAATGAAAAAAAAATTTTTTTTGGTGCAGACCACAAATATACCTTACTCATCATATTTAATTGCAGCTTAAAAAATTTTTTTGAGGGTCGAGGAATCTCCAAGGCAGATGGATTGCTTCATGGCCATAAGACGGAGGGCTGGGAGAGCCTTACCAAGGTCATTTCCCCATGTTTCTGCTTTCAGGAAGTATCGTACAAATATGAGGCTGCAACATCCAGGCTATGATCTCTAGAGAAGACAATGATTAGCCTGCAAACCAAATTTTGATGCTTCTGAAAAATTGTCAGGAAAATGACTGTATAATCTGCAAACAAAACAGAAGTACTATATCACCCAGCACAGGAGAAGCTTCTTCATTTTATTCTACATTCAGGACTAAATCTTTCAGACCCAGCCAAGGGAGTAACAAGGGGGCCATAATCTTGTTCTGATCCTTTGTAGCTTCTCTGGTAGCATCCCTGTCCCCCAGCTGGTTTTCAAGTTACAATCTCTCTGTGTCTCTGTCTCTGTCTCTCTCTGTCTCTCTCTGTCTCTCTCTCTGTCTCTCTCTCTCTCACACACACACACACACACACACACACACACACACGCACACACACACACATCCTTCATGCCCAGCTAGAACTGATTATCAACTGATTATTAACATTTGGGAAATTTGGGGGGATAAAATATATACAGTTGTGAAATACCATCCAAGTTCTTATTTTCTTATTGGTCCCATAGGGCAAGTGGAGCCCTCAGCCAAGCTGCTGAGATGTAGAGGTACAGCACATGCTCCCAACTGCCTGACTTCCCCACGTTTTCATCCATCTTTCTTCCTTTGTCAGGTCTGTGTTCATCTGTCTTTTCCAACACCCTACACCGTCAACCAATTTTGGGTTTTGGATAAAGGTTTGTTCTTCTCATTTGTCTCAGAATCCACTTTTTTGGCTTTCAAGTGAGCTGGTACCATTTTGGGCAGTTGTCTACTATGCACCTGGCCTGCTTTTGGGTTCAGTCCTAGGAAATCTTGGATGTGTCAGCTCTCTTTCCTCACCCTCCACAGCAAAGACGGGCTGAGAAGGCGCAGTGCGGGGCTGCTCATGCCCTCTGCCTTTCGCCTGCCTTTGGCTCTCCCATCCCGCTTCCCCCCGGCCCTCACATCCTGGACCCACCACACAAGAAGCTCCAAACCTAGGCTCTCTTCTCCTTGAACTTCCCATCTATTTCCATCTTGAGGGGTTCTCACCGTCTCTCCCGCTACCCGCTTTTCTCTCACGATTCCCCAGACGCTGAGTCTCTGTCCCCTCCCACGCCTTTGCCCGCTGTAAATTTTCACCTTCTGGATTTAAGCACCTGGATATTGTTGCATCTCTTCCCAGCGCCTCCTTTGCCACTGTGCAACATACAGCTGCTTTTTCAGCCCCGCCCCTCGCTGGCCTTCATTACATAGGAAAGTTTGTAGTGCTTCACATTTTGTTCTGGACACGGGCCAGTCTGGCCCCTTGTCAGGAGCCTCTCCCCGGGACTTCTCCTATAGCAACAATGACATTTTGAGGAGGAGGAGGCTGTTTCATCACCGTAAATACACACCCTCCCCCTCCTCATCGTAACAACCGCGACGGTGATAATGACGTTAATAACGAGGTCAGCTAATAGTTGGACGATGTGTCAGGCACTGTGCTGAGGGCTTTCTCTTGCTGTCTCGTTTATTCCTCACAACTACCCTTTGAGGCAGGTACTATAATAGAGGAGGAAACTGAAGCTAGCAGACACCCAAGGTGCTGTTTAGAGTCGCCCAGAAAGTGGGAGAGCCTGGATGTGAACGCACCTAGGTGGTCGTTCTCAGTCCATATTCTTTGCCACCATGTAGGGACGCCCAGAGCACGATGGTCCTCTCGCACCTGGGCGGAGGGCAGACAGGCAGCCAGGGACAAGGCAAAGAGCCAGAGGCAGCTCGTGTTGGAAACATTCATGGATTATTTGTCAGTTTTTAAGGAAAAAGCTAAGGAGACACAGGATACAGATAGCAAGGTGGCAGAGAACTCCAATCAGGCTCGATAGAATCGCTCTGTGCTGTGTCAATTGTCTTCTACGTCACCTTGGTGCCCGATGGAGTTTCTGTCACCATCATAGCTGTCTTCTTCTCTGAAGCACAAAGTCACCATTAGTAGTCCATCAGGCTGTGGTTATGTTGGCTGCCCTCTTCAAGGAAGGGGCTGTGCTGGAAGCGAAGAATTCTTTCCGCAGCCGTGGCTTGGGAGTAAATGGTGGGAACCTTCTCTCGGAACACTTTTGATGCGCGTGAGGCAGAAAGGAAGCTCTCATTTAGCTGGGTCGGTTTGCAAGCAGGGCAAAGGGGCTGTGGTCAGAGGCTCCGACCCTGTGTGTGGTCATTCAGCTTTGCTCCGTTCTGTGGCTACAGCCCAAGCACTAAATCCTGGCCGGATGTCTTATGATGCATGTGGCACACTATCATGGTCCCCGTGGGGATGGGGCAACAAGGTGGGGATGAATCAGTTCAGTTCCAAATTCTTGATCAGAAGAGCAGCTCGGAACACACAACCTGAAAGCAGTAGAATAAGTGTATACATCAAACCCGGCAGCATCATTGCCCCGTAGGGTACTTCAATCTGGGAGCACATTTCCTTGCCGGATGTCATCAAGTTCTCAGTAGAACCTAAACATGGTTGGCTGTCTTCATTACAAAGTGAACCTGAGGTCCATGCAGATTAAATGACTAAGCTTTGCGGTACATATGAGCCTTTTGAGTTGTATTTAGACAGAACTCCACCTATTCCACAACAAATTCATAGACAGGCGTCAATCCTGTGGCAAATTATCTTTGAACGTCTGTTGAAAACCATCTGACCACGAGTGGGGGTCTGTTTCTGGACTCAGTATTCCACTGATCTGCTTGTCTATCTTGGTACCAATGCTTTATTCCCTTTATTATTGGAGCTTTATAATAAATCTTAAAATTAGGTAGTAGAAGTCCTCCAGCTTTGTTTGTTTGTTTGGTTGGTTTTTGCTAAGTTGTTTTGGCCATTCTAAGTCCTTTTTGTTTACCTATGAAATTTAGAATCAGCTCGTCAATTTCTACCCAAAAAAGCCTGCTTTGGGTTTTGACTGGGATGATGTAGAATCCATAGCTCACTTTGAGGTTGGTTCATTTCTCTGAGTTTTTGACTGGTTTTTATACTATGGATTAGTGTCCTGGGATGGAGCTCTGGAATCTGTAGCACAAACACAGAGATCTTCAGGACAATTCATTTTTATGCTGATTTAAAGCTAATAAGGATAAATATTTACAGGGAATCCAAGCCATCTGAAAGCAGAGTTACGAGGGCTTCACTGATAATAAGACTATTTACATGAAGGGGAACTTTGACTGTTTTGAGCACCTAGGATAAGCCATATTTGTAAAATGTTTAATTCCCACAAGAAGCCTATGAGGTAGGCATTACCTACTCTACATTACAAGTAGGGAAACTAGGGTACAAAAAGTTAAGCAATTACGCTGAGGTCATACAGGAAGTTAAGTGGTAAAGTTGACCTTTAAACCCAGGTTGGTCTCATTTTACTGTGATGCTCCCCTACCTCAACAGTCTTCAGACTGTCCAGAATGCCCCAGGAGGCTGCCAGTGTCTCAGGGCCCACATGAGTGTGTAAGTGTAGGGGTGGGGGGCGGGGGAGGGAAGGGGGAGGCTGGTTCTTGGTGCTCTGGACTCCGCTTCAACTTGATTTTCCTTTGGTCTGTCTTATGAATCGGAGTTTTGCTTAAAAAATAAAAACAGAAACAACAACAACAACAACAAAATAGCGGTGCCGTTCATCTCCGTTTCTCACAGACAAAGTTCCTGAAAGCTTTGGAGTAGTGGTGAACCGTGACGGAAGCTGCCCAGGGTCCAAGGCGGTACACTGGGGCTATTTTTTCCTATCAAAATTCGAACTTGTGGTCCTTCCGCCTGCGGGACCCGTTGTCTGGTCAGCTCACGGGGTCACTAATGAACCCAAAAGCTGCTCCGTCACTCTAGTGCTGTTCTGACAGCTGGGTCTCAGCCCAGGTCAACTAACCCTGCCGTGGGTAAGGCTGGCGTTCTCAGTGTCCGCTGAAGCTCTGGACTGTTCCAGCCCTCACGCCTCCTGAGCTTTGCTGACCTTCCTGCTTTTCACAGGCTGCTAGGCCTTCTCCTTTCTCTGCTCCTCATCAGCCTCGCCCTCGGCAGCCACCCCAAGAAATCCAGCCTTTTTCATCTTCTCTCTCTCAGAAATTGGAACGGATTTTTTTTTTCTTTTTTCTTTCTGAATTCCTGATGCGCCTGCCTTTGCCAAAACCCCAAATCCCAGATCTGCCGTGTGCCAACAAATGCCGGGAGAGGTTGTTTGGATGGATTCAGAAATGACCTTGAACCTTTGCTCAACGCTCAGATGACAGGTTCTCTCCTTCCCAACCACACCCCAACACACATGCTTCTTGTCGGATAAGGAAATGTTTTATTGCTTCGTTTTCCTTTTCACTTTCTCTACCACCCCTTCTTCACGAACGCTTCCCCCTTGTCCTATCACGTACCTTCTGGAAAATTAATCAGAGAGCTAAAACCCCAGGACAGAAAGGGGCCTTGGGAGGGCATTTCATCTGGACTTTTGCTTCTAGAGAGTAATCATACTTGCCTGGTAACGGACTCTCTCTTCTGTCTTTAGACTTTGATCAGTTCCCATCCCTTCTCATTTAAGCATCTCTGGGTTTTGCTTCTTGGGTCTTATTTATTAATTTCGTATTTTAAAGTGCTTCCTTTCTTCCATTTAGGGTTGTTTCATTGGGATCCAGATAATGTATACAAGGCATGTTCATGATAGACACTATCATGATTTGGCCAAAAACATTGAGCTTTTTTCAAGCAGATGTATGTCTCCAAACTCTTTTCCTGGGTCAACCATGGTTTCTGGGGAGTCAGATATGATCATGGGTCTCCATGGGTAAAGACTGGACGCTGCCTGTGGTGGTCCAGTTGTGTATGTAGTTGACTGATCCGGAGGGATTTTTTTGGCTACAGTCAGAGGTCAAGAGTAAACGTAACAAGTCTATGATGGGGTCTACCCAGATGCAAAATGCTTTACAGGCTTGTAATCAATACCCTGGTGATTCAGTGCTAGGCCAGCTGTTGCGGAACAAAATGATTTTATATTGATTGTCTGATTGACTGATTTTGGCTTCAAGAGTACAGACTGGCTCGAGTAACTTTCTGCTGTGGTGAAGACAGATCTCCCAGAGCACAGGCATGTGAAATTCCACACTCTCCTTTTCCAGGGACTGAAGTGGACAGAAGGGTGAAACCCTCTGTTTTCCTTGACTTGAGTATATTTTTGAACACACCTATTCTTTTTTCCCTTCATTTCCCATTTCACACCCTGTCCATCTACCTTTTCTCCTCACCTTAAAGTCCTAGACCTGTCCCCCAACTGCTCTGAGTCCACTCTTGAGAAAGGATTTCCCAGCCTCTAAAGGACAGGGGCTCCTCCATGACCCCAGCAGAGTTCTTCTGCAAGAACACGTCTTTCAACCTGTGGCCTGTCTCTTTGGTCGTCTACTGAAAGATTGGGACCGTCCTGCACAGCAGGTCCCACTGCAGACTCCTCAGGAGTTAAGTCCCAGCTTGAGCTGGGGTGGAGGGAATGGGGGCACCCAGGGTGGCCAGTAGTTTGTCATCATCTCAGGAAGATGGGCTGGGAAGTTGGAGTCTTTGAGATAGAGCAGAATTATCCTCACCGCATGTGATGAAAGAAGGTGGCACAAAATCACCCCTCCAGAGAGGGATCCTGGCCCTGAGTAAGAGCGAGAGAAGGGAAGCAGGTGGGGAGCTTTAAGAGGTGGGAGGAGAATCAGGAGAAGTTCAGAGGCTCTCATGATTCCAAACAATGCTTTCATTTCCGATGTTACCCTCCAAGGAAAGAAGGTCTAGCGTATAAAGGATAGGCCCAGTCAAAATCTGACAACGTAAATCCTTGGCAGATGACATTGTTTCTCTGGTACGATCGCAACCTGCCAATGGAGAAATATCTCCCAAAGGGGACAATTGGAGTAATCACTTAAAGACAATCCCCTGGCTTGATAACCCAGAGCAGACACCCCTTTCCCTCTTTCCTTTAACCCCAGAGCCAGAAGCATTGGCTGACCCTCTGGTAGGTGAGGCCTGTGGGCAGACGAACAGGTGAGGACGAGGGAGGTCCTTTCCTGGGGGAATGTGTTAGAAGTTGCGGACGTGAGGCCAGAGCAAGTGGCGTGTTTCCTTCTCGGGCTGTCACTTTCCCATGTGAAAGCTGCTTTGCTCTTCCTCATTTGTGCTGCGCGTTTCCCCTCAACCTCCGCTGGGTGTGGACAGGAAGCCTGGCACTGACGCCACCTCTTGAGTTTCCACAAAGTTTCACTTTCTGTTTCTCAAGCCCTGACCCACACTCCACGGCTTCCCAGGCCATGCGTGGGTGCCTTGGAAACCACACGGGTGGCCTGTTCCCTGTAGGTGCCGTGCGTGACAGACAGGATCCCGGAGAACTTCTTTTCTGGAGTCTCAGGGCCTGTGACTCTAGTGTCTGACTTCACGTCCACCCCAGTAACAATGAAGGTCATTGCCATTGGCAATGCCCCCCTCTCCCAAAGTCAGACTTTGGAGGTAATTACCCTGAAGCATGGAAGAAAGGGCAACGTCTGAAGGTTTTGTGCTGTTTCCTTGACCTGTACCTCGGAGGATCTCAAGGCCAAGAGTGGGTAACTGCTCTGCTATAGTAGAAACTCAGGAAATGCCTTAAACTATTGAAGTCAAGACAGGAAGTGACTTGCTAAAGTCCATAGAGCTGCTCAGCAGCAAGGTCAGGACTAAATATGGCTCTTTTCACTCCCAGGTAAATTGTCTTTCTTTTCCCCAAACTGCCCATCTCACCCCTCTTTCTTCTTGTTATAATGAATACCATTTCCTGTTGTATAGCTGTCTACATTGATAGCCAACAATGCGACATTCTCCTTATGGAAACCCTATCTGGATTAGAAGATGACTATTAATCTACTCATCCTCCACCTCTACCTCAATTAGCAACTATCTCAAGTTATGGCCATCCCAAAGTGTTTGATCATTTCATTCTTCCTCTTGTATCTGTGCAGGGGGGCCTGGCAAGGACTTATGAGGTGGTATGAGGCACGGCACATCAGTGGGCAGTGGGATTTGGAGTATGGGTCCCCTGCTCTTGGTGCTCTTGGCACCTGCTGCATTTTATCCCCACCTGCTGAACCATTAACCTACTACCTTGTATAAGTTTAGCAGAAAGAGTCCCCAAGCACCTATGAGAAGCACGCACAGCTTTTCCAGGTTACGCCGTGGGGATCGTGAAAATACACAGTATTCGTGTCTGGAAGTCATTTGACAACTCACTCCCAGAGTCACTTGCTTCTTATAACTTACCTCAAGCAGCATATGTTACAATGATCTGGTGCTTTGGGTGAGAGAAGTGAATAGTCTCCTAAGGAAGGAGGCACAGGTGAGTTAATTCTCATCTTGTTTTGAACTTGTACTTGCCTCTATCTTGTCCCCCATTCCCGGCTTTGCTGCGGCTCTCGGACCAACCTGGGACTTTATGACCTAAAGACAGTTGAAGACCTAAAGTAAACTAGGCAGCTTCTGTCCATCTTGCTTCCCTAACTGTTATCCTCTGAATCATCTACCTTTCCTCTGGTTTCCTGTATCATCTTTTCTTTTTTTAATTTTTTAAAAATTTTTTAATTTATTTTATTTTTTTAAATTTTATTTTATTTTTTTAAATTTACCTCCAAATTCATTAGCATATATTGCAACAATGATTTCAGGAGTAGAGTAGACAATCAGGGTAATTGTCCAGACACAGATCAAGGCAGGATGCTTTTAAGCAATCACTCACATCTCTAAAGTCTTAAACCCAAGAGCATGGGGAGGGACCATTCTATAAGCAAAGCCTTAACTATGAAAACAACTTTTGAAACGAAGATTCAAAAGATAAGCTCAACAACAGGTGTTCTTTGCTTTCTGTAGTAGGTGTGTTCTTGAAAAGTTTAGTGTCAATATTTTTCCCCCATTAATCTAATCATAGTCTAAATATAAGAGGGAGGCTGGATATTTAAAGAAACCATGTAGTTGATCTCATTGCAAAGCCTTTTTAGAGTTTTAAAAATCACTTTTCTTTTCAAACATCGGGTTTTCTTAGATTATAATTTCTTATAAGTAGGGACCTATCGGGTTGATGTATATTGCCTACAAATAAAGGATGGGTTAGCCGCAGACTGCTGGAGCTTTGGGACTTTTGTGTTTATCAAATACTTTATATCTATTTATACTTGGAAGATGGGACAATAGCTTCCTCTGGGAACAGAAAGATCTTTTATTTCTCTCTTCCTAGGCCATGCAAACTCCACTTCTTCTTTCTGGTATTTCCCATACATGCCTCCACCACAAGGCAATTGATCATTCTTTCACACTCTTCTGAACTTTCTGCAAGTGCTGGTGTCTCTGTGCTGGAATAACCTGGTATTTTGGGTTACACTACTGAATATTCTCTTCAGGATGGAGGCAGGTGGTCAAATGACTCAAAAACCAGGACTCGGTCTAAGGTTATCCAATATGAGCTGTGGCTATTGAGTACTTGGAATGTGGAATGTGAATGAAACTTAGGAATGAATTTTGAATTTAATTTAATTTTTAAAACGTTTATTTATTTTTGAGAGAGAGGGAGAGAGGCAGAGAGAAAGGGAGAGAAAGAGAATCCCAAGTAGCCTGAAGAGGGGCTCAATCTCACGAACCATGAGATCATGACCTGAGCCGAGTGGGAAAGGGGTAGAGAGAGAGGGAGAGAGAGGATCCCAAGAGGGCTCTGCACTGAGAGTGGTGAGCCCTATGCGGGGCTCAAAGTCATGAACCATGAGATCATGACCTGAGCCAAAGTCAGACACTTAACCAACTGAGCCACGCAGGCGTCCCAGAACTTCTTAAAAAAATGTTTCTTTGTTTCTTTATTTTGAGAGAGAGAGAGAGAGAGAGCAAGTGGAGGAGAGGCAGAGAGAGAGAGAGAATCCCAAGCAGGCTCCATGCTTTCAGCGAAGAGCCCAACACAGGGCTCAATCCCATGAACCATGAGATCATGACCTGAGCCAAAATCAAGAGTCGGACGCTTAACTGACTGAGCCACACAGGCTCCCTGGAGAACTTTTATGTATATTTGAAGCAACTTGATCACCTTTCAAACTGTAAGTTTTATGGAGTTTCTACATATAGGTCAAGTCGTTCTACAAAGATTTTAGCTTTTGAATTGAGATATATGTATAAAATACATATCAGGTTTTGAAGATTAGTAGGAAAAAGGAATGTAACATATTTGCTTAATAATTTCTATTCTGTATACGTGCTGAAATGATAACATTTTGGATATACTGAGTCACATAAAATATATTATTAAACTTAATTTCATCTATTTCTTTCCAGGTTTTTTACATGGCTACTAGAACATTGAAAATTGTAAATGTGGTTCATATCATGTGTCTCTTGATCAAGACTGATCTCAAGTATACTATTGCCTGACTTCATGACCACTCCCTGTGTCTAGACAAATGCCGTCAGCTCTTCCTATGACAGGGTTCAGGGTTTTAATTCGGATGCCCCTCAGCTGAAGAAAACGCATCAACCTCTAGCTTTATTCTTTGAGGCAGCTTCTGAATCTACACTTGGGTGACAATTGCTTTGGCATCTTTGAGTTTTTTGCATGCCTTACTGTTCGATGCAGTCCGCATAGTTTATGCTTTTAAAAAAAAATAGAAAGACTTCCAGAAAATGCTTTCAGTAGAAAGATAGATTTGGGAAGAATATCCAAAATTGTCACTTTGAACTTCTTATTTCATATGAGAAGAAGACCTGCCCAAATATATTCTGCTGTGCAGTGACGCCTCCAGACCACTGCTGGTCCGGACGCTCTCTGTAACCTCACACCAAAAGTGACTGGGGCCAAGGAACAGCCATGGACACGATGACACAGCATTACAAAACACCACGCTAGCTGGTTATTAATGAAAACCAGATGATGGACCATGCACCACATCGTCCAGAAAGTTGACTAGCTGGAACGGAACATGCAGAGTTCAAGGGTGGCAGGAGCCTGCGTTAGAAGCACGGAGGCTGGGACACACATCCACGCTCTGCTGTGAATCGGCTGCGAGTCACTGGGCAGGTTATTGTCACATCCCCTTTGCTCATCTATCAAATGAGAGGGTCGCAGCAGAAGGTCTCTAGTTCCCACCTGCTCCTACAGCCGCATCTCGGGCCAGTCTAGCCCGAGGCCCCCACCACCTCCAGCTGTGAGAACACGGGGCAGGACTACCCGGGTTGGAGAATGCCCAAGGCACAGGCCAGCGGTCTTGTCCCGCGGGGAGTGAGAGGCAGGGCAGGGAGAGCCAGCAGGCTCTGTGACACTGCTGTAACCTCACCGCTGGTCAGTGACCTCCTTTTCGGTAGCATACGTTCCATCACGCGCAGCTTTGCTGGGTCAAGTGCATCTACACTTTAGAGCCATGGGAAACGTTTATCAAACTAACCTCCAGAAGGCACAGGCTCAGCTTCACTCTCGCCACCCAAATACCTGCTTTGGGGAGTAAACAGCAAATCTTTGTTATTTCAATTTGCTGCTTTGCGATTGTAAGTGACATGGAACTTCCCCCATATGGTAATTGGCGACTGACATTTCATCTCACACAATCTGACTGTTTGCATCTTTCGCCCTGGTTTCTTGAGTGTTTTTTTTTTTTTTTTTTTTTTTTTTTTTTGTCTTATGATTTATAAAAGCTCTTTTGGTTTAAAGGTTAACCCTTTCTTGTTACATGTCTGCACCACTTTCTTGCAAATATTTTTTCAGTTCATGACTCGCCTTTTCATCGCGTGTGTGCGTAACTTTGAACTTACAGATATTGACATTTTTATTGAAAAAAAATTCTTGTAATATGAAATTTATTGTCAAATTGGTTTCCATACAACGCGCAGTGCTCATTCCAACAGGAGCCCTCCTCAACGCCCCTCACCCAACCTCCCCTCCCTCCCACCCCCCATCAACCCTCAGTTTGTTCTCAGTTTTTAAGAGTCTCTTATGAGATATTAACATTTTTAAATGGTCATGTTTATCAATCTTAAAAAAAAAAACCCTCTGTACTTTTATACTTTCAAGGCACCTTGTCTATTCCTAATCAGATAATTTTTACCCATAACAGTTATCTATTTTTCTTTTTAATCTGTAGTGATGCATTCTGGTGTCTGGTGTGAAGAGGCTACATTCTTTTTCTGTGTATAATCACACAGGAAGGATCTCTCACACTGTTTACTAAATAAACTATCCCATTCCTTCCAGTTTCCACACCCATTTAATCTAGTCCATTGTTGACATCATCAGAGAAAATTTCTCATCAGAAAGTTTGACCAGCACAATTCAATGGTGTCAATCCAGCTTGATTTATGCATGGTTGTTAGGCTGGGTGGCAGTTATGAAACGGGGTGGAAGTTAAATCAATGAATTATCATTGATACACTTAATGCCACAAATGTATTGCAGACTGAAGAATTTAGTTAAATTGTGGAACATGCCATATATTCCACTGGAAATTTGGTTGAGCCCAGTTCACTGGGCTTTGTTTATAAACCTTTACCTTAAAACGTCCGGGATCTAGAGCAGGGGACACGGAGAAGGTAAGGGAGACATCATCTTGGGGATGGAGAGGACTTTTCCATGGTGACCAGATGTTTATCACTGCACGGGCAGAAGGCCCAGGGAGGCTGGTTGTGGTTTGGGTTATTTTTTCCTGATGCGGATGTAGTTGCTTCTCTTCTGGGTGGGCAGTGTGGGGACCAAGGAGTCTTAGTGGGTGCACAACATCCAGCAAGGAAACCATTCTGCTGGCTCGCTGCATCAGCCACACTCTTTACAGATCAGGACGCCAGCTGCTGCTCTAACCAAAGTAAAAGTCCTACGTAGGGCCACATGCTACCCACGGGGCACTGCAGGCCTTCCTGGACTCTTCCTTCTCTAAGAGGTAGGGCTCAGAATGACGTCTGGTCATGGAAAAAGAATTTTGAGTCGTCCGGGTTCATGGTGTCTGAACCGTGGAGGGTGTACCCTGTGTTCTTTTGAGGTTAGGATTTGCTTTAATTAAGGAAATAAAATGAAATCCAACACACCCTGCTCACGCCACACATGTTCTGAGGGGCTGCAGGAAAACCCCAACGCTGTTGGGACACAGAGTCAGCAGGGACTTCTCGGATGACTTGGTTAGTGTCAGTGGGCCACCCTGCTGTTTCCTTTCCTGAGAACATCTATCCCTTTTCAGAGACTGTTAATTTTGTGCTCAACATGCCTGAGTGTGTTGATATCAGTCTTGAGTCCAGTTTGCGTTTTGTCCCCTCCCTGCTGAGGGGAGCAGGAAACTGGGGATTATGGGAGTCGGGGGTGGTGATGAAAGGGCTCTAGACCACCAAGCCTTGAGTTCAGAAGATGCATATGACTTAGCCTGCTCTGTGGATATGTCCCCTGCTTGCCTCCACCCTCCCATTTGTCAGGGTCCCTCCCTTCCCTAAAGACAGTTCAAAACTCTTCCCAAGTTAACACCAAACCAGAGAATGTTCCATTTGTCTTTCTCATGCTCACGCCCTGCCTAACTCAACATCGTATGTGAAAATCTAGAGGAATGGTGTCTGTTTTGAAGAATGCCTTACACTTTTGTTATTTTTCTCTACATAAATTCCTTAACTACAGAGTTGACATACAATCACCACATTCAAACACACTTCATAGTGCCCGGGTCTGATAATCATATATGTGTGTGTGTGTGTGTGTGTGTGTGTGTGTATGTGTGTGTGTGTGTGTGTGTGTGTGTGTGTGTGTGTATATATATATATATATGTATGTATTTGGAAGTTCTTTCATATAACAAAGTAGCAAAGGGGCCCATCTGTTTGAGTATGTTTAGTCATACATTCATGTAAACTCAGAAAACTGATTTGGAAGACTTGCTTGGGATGAAGGAGGCTCTGAACTATTGATGGTGAGGATTAGAAGGTTTGGAAGGAGCTAAGGCTGTTCTGGGGAGGCCCTCAGTTTCCGATCCACCCTCTTCTCCCCTAGGACTTAATGGTGGGACAGAATCACTGGATTCATTGGGTTGCAAGTCATACATGCCCAACTCAAACTAGTTTAAGCAATATCGGATATTTAATGGCCGCCGAAACCGGAAAGTCCAGTAATGTAACTGGCTTGGGGCACAGATGACTAGTTTCTCCTCATTCTTTGTCTCTGCTTTGCCTTCCTCTGTGTCAGCTCCATTCTCAGGCAGACTTGATTCAAGTGAAGGCAAGGGTGCCCTCCAGCAGCGTCACCCGAGAACTTAGAAAACCCTAAGCAGAAAGAGAATGTCTCCCGGCCAAAGTCCTGGGGGGGGGGGGGGCTCTCAGTGGCCCATCCCGGCTCATGGAACCTCTTCTGAAACAATTAGTGGTCAGTGGAATATGTTCTTTTGATTTTCCCAGACTCATCAAGGCGTCTGACCCTGAAACCAGGGGTGAAGAGCAACCTTTCCCAAACCGCATGATGGCTCACCTAAAGGAAACTGGGCTGCTGTTCCCAGGAGAGGAGAAACATCAGGCAGAACAATAGAAGCCCACTTCAACAGATGGCAGGTGGATGGTGTGAAGAGAATTCTCATTCTGCTGGGTGGATCTGGGCTCACCTTTCACCTCTGCAACATACAAGTGATGCTGATGTGGCACCAAGGCTGTTGGGATCTGGAAGTAAATTGTCACATGGGGATGTACTTTGGCCAGAATTCGGTCCTCCTCTCCATAACTCTGTCCTCCTTCCATCTATATCTAGGTTATATCAGCCCTCCCCCATTGTACATGGGCACCGCCGTGAAGCACACACTCAAGCCCAGTGGCATGCAGATGAAGCATTTGGGGTTCATGTTCTGCCACTCAGCCTCTTCCCCACCCCCCCACCTTCCCATGGGCAGCAGCACACATTAAGTTCTGCTAGGTTGCCATGTTTTCTAACACACTCTCTTACTCTGGATGCCCAGGTGTTGGCTGTGGGAGAGGCATGGTTGGCCCACTTACCTGGCTCCCTCTGATTCATAGGGACACCCTGCCTCATGTTCTTCAGCATGAGAGTCAGGATGCAATGCAAGACCACCGCACTTAAATATTTGGGTTCTCATCCCGGCTCAAAAACGAACTAGATGGGTGATTTTTGGACTGCCCGTGGGTCAATTTCTTCCTCTGTATTTGGTCACATCTTCTTCAAACCGTAAGGTCCCTTCATGTTCTAGTGCTCATCCCTTCTGAGCAGCCACTACATTAGCTTCAAGTTTTTCCTCTGAAAATTCAAGAGAATAAAGCTATGCCTTAAAACGATTTCCCGAGAGTAGACATAAAGAGCTAGAGAAGTCTGAAACCCAGATCCTCCACTAAGTAGGCATGTGATTTAGGGCAAGTTATTAACATCTCTGCGACTCACTTTTCCTTGCCTTTAAAATGGGGCTACAGGATGTCATGAAGATTAAGTGGGTTAATGCTTGAAGCCTGCCCAGGGCAAAGTTCCACATCAGCAATTGCTGTTTCTGCTGTTCTAGATTGTAATGCATAAAACAGAGAAATGTTGTATTTTCGAAGTGCATATCTGTCAAGTACTTGCCAGATGGGAGGAACTCATGTCTCCTGAAGGAGCAGGTCTCATTTTTGGTAGATCTAATTATTACTATAAAGTCATTGTTATTGCCCTTGAAATACTTGAAGATACCATCAGCCACACTCTTGAACACTCCTGTCCTCTTTAATTTCTTTCTATTGCTCTGGCCACAAGACCAGTGCTCTAGTACGGATATGTTCAGATTTGTTAATGCCCTCCTCTGTGCTGTCCGCCTCTAACTTGACCCCAGACGGGATCTAAACAGTGCTAAACCTATCACTTCTCTCCAACATATAATCACACTTTACTAGTGCTGCCAGGGACTGGATTTCCTTTCTAGCAGCCGAGTCATGTTTTGGGCTCATATTTAGCTTCCAATTAAGAAAGCCCTGAGTTGTTTTCATATAAACCAGTGGAAACCCATTTTAGAATTCAAGTCCTCTGTCTTGCCTAATCAATGTTACCTTCTGGGATAAATACAGAAAATCCTTCAAGTACAGAATGAGGAAATCCTGACT